CAGGCAGGGCTACGGGTTCGTGTACAGCGGTATTCACACAAGACCTGCCTTCAGGTTACTCTGTTCGTCACGTGTTTTAAGGGCAGCTTTCCTCTCCTCCTGGAGGCTACACCCTCCCCATGTCTGCCAGGGCGAGGGGTCAGGGTTGTGCTCGGCTCTGCCGGCCACGGAGGTGGATTTTTTAATTCCTCTCTGACCCAGGGCAGCTTTTCCAGCCTCATGGTGGGCTTTAGAAAATGGGAGAAATACTAAGAGATGGGTTCAGAGAAACTGCAGGGAGGAGGCACATGGGAAGGGACATTCTTGGGTCATGGTTTGGGAGGAGCTGCCCTGTCCCCAGAGCAGGGACAGTGGGGAGGGGGCTGGGGCACCCCTGAGGGGCTGTGGCCCATGAAGGAGCCCATGTCAGGGCAAAGGAGTAGGAAGCAAGGAGCAGCTCCTCGCCAAAGGGAGTCGGGGGGTTGACTGTGATGTGGTGAGAACACGGGGAGCTGATGTTAGGGGAGGTGTTGGATTGAGGCTGAGCCAGGCAGAAGGACAGGAAAGGCGTTTAACTGTTTAAAATTTGCTGTCTTTATTTCTCAATACTCAAAAGCAGCAAGTTAATTGGCAATATATTAATTCAGTGAAATCGCCCAATTCCAGACAGTTTTGCCCACAGCAGGAGATCTGCAACTGCCTCCTGGCCACCCGTGGTGAGGAACTGGGGGATGCTGGCGAGGGGCAAACCTGGGGTTCACCCAAGCGTGCCAGGGTTCCTGGGTGCTCTGCATGGGCAGACCTTCACCGGGGGGGAGAACCAGCCCCAGCTCTGCTGCTGCGCTTTCAAGGGGGATGCTCAAGCCTCTCCTTGGGTGACTGAGGAGGGATAACAAGCCTTCTGGAGCGCAGCTTGACATAGTCCCCAACTCCAGTAGGACAGGGCACCACTGCTGACCCTCTTCCATAGGGCTTTTAGAGCCAGGAAAAGACATCAGCAGCAACACTGAGCGTTGGATACGTTTTATTGCATTAACACCCCTCCTGCTCGGCAGTCAGCACTGCTCCCAGCGTTCAGAAGCGCTCGCTTCTTTTCCCTGCAAGAAACTCTGCTCCAGAACCAGTTCAGGGCCAGTCCTCCTCCGAAACGCAGCTACCCCTTCTCAATAAGAGCCAAGAGGTGGCTGAGCGTGGGCAGGATGTGCTCCGGGGGTACCTCTGGCTCCTCACCCTGCCCGGCAGCCCGGAGAAGAAAGCTGTGCATGCCCACGGCTCGGGCCGCCCTGTAATCTCGCACGTAGTCATCCCCAATGTGAGCCGCCTGCTCCGGGGGGACCCCACCGAGGCGCAGGGCTTTCTCAAAGATCCTCCCGTCTGGCTTGGCGAAGCCTACGTCCTCAGAAGTGAGGACGAATTCGAAGTGGTGCCGCAGGTTGCACCGGGAGAGGATGTTTTCCAGCCGCTTATCGAAGTTGGAGACGACCCCCATGTGGAAGCCGCGCTGGTGGCACTGGCTCAGGGTCTCTGCAGCTCCTGGCAGCACCTCCCAGTTCTGGGCGCTGCAGTAGTCACGGTAGAGGTTTTGTGCCATCAGGGTTAGGATCCCGTCCTCCTGCACGCCCGAGAGCCTGAAGGTCTGCTTCACGACGTCGACCCACCACTGCTG